GGTGCTTACTATCAAATTTTATATCGGCGTTACTCAACCGTCCTCCGACTCTAAGAAGTTTGTTCTGACAGAATGGCTTGAGGCGCTGAAAAGAGGGGTACATCGCTTGCCTGTAGTAAGCTAGCGATTTCGTTGAAGAAGTGGGACCGTTGAAGGTCACTAGTATTAAATTCTCAGCGTAATCTAAATCCGCTGCGATTATAGCGCGGCAATAATTTAACAAAACGACAGATAAAACGACAATGCGTAAAAGCTTTGACCAAGATAAAACGATTTGCAAGCGTAATTAAAAACTTTTCTCAACCTTTTCACAATCTTCAGCAGTGAAAAGAGTTACATGCTTCTCTACTTCTGGAGGCTGAGGACACAGTAGATGGATTAAAATCCGTAACAGGCCAAAAACTTGGATCTGATAGAATCCATTGGGACCGCAGAACCAAAGCGGATGATCAATGATTTGTGCGGGACTAAGGCCACGAGATAAACAATCAGCGGGGTTTTCATGGCCAGCGATGTGATAAAATGTTTGCGATGGAAATTCATTCTGAATCTTAGAGACTCTATTAGCAACGAAAGTATCCCAACGATGGGGCGAAGAATGCACCCAACAAAGAGAGTCGAGTCTGAGAATGCGAAAACACGATCTATATTAAGCATTGTTACAAGCATTAATTACATTAGCAATTAAGTTGCTTAGGACTAATATTGCACAAGCTCGAGACGTGCTAGCGAAACCACCTTACGAGGTGACACTTTAGATTTAGCGCTATAGACTAAATGAGTTTTTGCGAAGACCTTGACTGTCTCTTACATGAAAGTACACAACTCCTCCGTAGGCCCTTTCACTTGCGTCCGCGAAGCCCAGACGGTTACAACATACCGGAGCGAGCCAACATGTCGTGGAATTTTAATTTTTCCAAGAAGAGGAAGTTCCTCCTTAAAACGGGACCACTGTTGAATGATGTGGTCGGGTGGTATATCATCCCAATCACATTCACACAACCAAAGTTGTTTTATGAGAAGTTTTGCGTAAAGACCACGGGTGCAACAAATCCCATGAGTCCCATATCCTAGCGACACACGACAGAATAGTACGCTTTGTACATGATTCAGCGGTTGTACAGATTTTAAGACTAAAATTATGTTGCGGGTGACCAGCATAGTCCTAGTACCTTTGCGAATCAGAGTCATCAAACTCCTTTACAGAGAGAGACGATGCGACGGCGTAATAGAATCCAAGACTCTTTGTGAATGCTTGTCCATTTAACAAGACAAATTGTCCGGCTTTCATCAAGCGATTTCCGCAGCGGTGGAAATAGCCTCATCTTCGTTGTCAATGCTGTAGACAAATCGTCCATATACAAACCAGTCTTGACTGTTTGCTGTGCTCGCGGATAAGAAGCACCTTCATCCAAAACTAGTTGCTTTATGGTACGAAGAGCGTGAAACGGGCTAGAGCTTCAGTCCGAAACAAACGCGGTTAAATTCATAAACCTTCAAGGGTTCTTGCGGCGAAAAGCGATAAGAATGCTGGAACCTTCGGTCACATGGCCGAACTCCAATGCAAAGAAACATTTGACGAATGTCAGCGAGAGAGCGATACGAAAAAGCGAAAATTAACAATAATATGAAATAAGTTTCCTTGCAGATTTTGCCCATTATATAAAATGTCATTAAGCGAGATTTGGGAACTGGACTTTGAACTACCGTCCAGGACGATGCGTAATTTAGAAGTAAGTTTATCTTCTCTTATTATACCATGGTGAGGTATTGTATATGAGGGTAAATTCCGAGTTTCTTCAGTGTCTAGAGGAGCGGGAGAAATATAACCCTTATTTAAATATTCACTAATCACGTATCATAGCCTCCTTTAATTTAGGTGATGCCTGCATTTTACGTTCTAAACAAAGAAAGCGATTTTTAGATTTCTTAAATGAATCACCTAATGAAAATACATCCCCTTTAAATGGAAGCGGACATGTATCGACCATCCGTACGGGTAGTGTGCTTGATTCTTCACACGCCTTTCATCTGGACTCAATAGTTGCGGGGCGCTTACTTCTTCTATCTGCCAGAATTTACGTACAGAGGTCAAGCGGGTCTGTAGCACAACAAAGAGACAGACGCGTGATTATCAACTAGAGCAGGAGCAGAGCCGACAATAACATAACCTAACACGGTCTCTAAAGCGAGCGGTGAGAGACAATCAGACTGACCTTGAACTTTACGAGATAAGAGAAGGTGAGGAAAGATTGGCTCCAATCAACAAATCAAATCTCCAGGGGCAGGTAGGTATCGTCAGCTAAAGGTAAATTATTAAAATTGATCAACGACGAAATATCCACAGAACAGTGGGCAAGCGCTCCGTGACCTTGTCGACTACGAGCGAGTCCATGCTAAAACACACACTGAGATCAAAGCGGAAAAGAATTTCACCGAAACCGAACTTAGAATTGGCTTAGTAGTACCTCCAATCCCTTTAACCACTGAACATGAGGGTTTCTGGTTTGTCTCTAAACCCAACCGCTGGCATAAGCTGCGACTGGCGAAATTACTTTGCGAGGCACTGTCCAATAAAGCGCGAATTATGTTCCCTACCTTGCGTATCGAAAACAACAACGCGTGCGGTAGCGAGTAACACCGTAGTAGGTGTGCGGGAAGCATTACAATTAGATAAGGAACACAATGTGACGTCATGGGGTTGCGTGGGTATCACCGAAGTTCGCCCTTTATTAGCGGTACTCTGTCAACCGAAGGCTGGCAGTGGCAAGGCGCACAGTGGAAGCGGCATTGCGCAGCGTGGCAGCAGGTAAAGTGGTGAAGTACTGTCACCAGACGTGGTGCCCGTGGCTGCGGCGTGTTATTGTTATCAAAGTGAGATGGTGGATGTAAATATACACCGGCGGAGCGTGAGAAGAGTTACAGGAGTTAGGTGCTTCCCTAAGCAGTTCACGCAAGATTTTCGCCTTAACAAATTTAAAACATCGTTAGCGGTCATGTTATGAAAAGTTGAGCATGTATACAAATGTTCGTGTCGCGTATTACTAGGGAACACACCGGCTGCTAGGTGCAGTCGCCGTATTTAGGTATGTATGCTTGAAATTTTGCTTGTCGTATCATATTTACGTTCCAAAGTTTCTTAGCATCATTACCTGAAGTGCGTTGTAATATTTTTAGGTGTTCGCGAATAAAACTATAACTCGTACATGTTGGTATATCCGAACTGCGTTTATACAGTTCGAATAAACGAACTGTTTCAATATCTATTTTTTTAAAGCCATATACATAAATATGAAATCGGCTAGGGTTATCTAGCTTTTAAATGCTAAGAGCGGCAACTGAAGAAGAAAATGTTTCTAAAAATTGCTCAAGGTTATTTGCGTTTGCGATAGACATCGCCTTAATATCGTAATTTGATCTAAATACGAGGTTGCGAGAAAGTTGTCTTCAAATTTATCAATAAGTGTTTTATAAATTATTTGAAATTTTCGGGAAGGTGTAAGCCCGGCGCAAGCCGATTTTGCTTTTGCCTGTTAGTTTTCCTAAAGTAATATTCTTTTCACCGTCCGTAAGTGATTATTTTTCATGTATGGTAGTCTTAAAGTTATTATAGAATAAAGGCCAAGACCTGATATCCCCGTCGAAAGATACCAACTCGATAGGAGGCAATAGGGCTTAAGTCTCCGCGGCGTATCCTTATCAGTTTTATTAGACTACAGCTGTACAGTGAAACTAAGGCTTGACGGGCTGTAAAGCCGCTCGAATGCAATTAAACTTTTAAATTCCGAGTGCCTTAGGATTTAAAGATAACAAGCGATTATTATAATCATCTAAGATTTTAATAAAGTCTGAACGTAACGTTTCAATATTCTACTGCGTCGAGAAAGTTTTCCCTCATCAAGGGTCACAATCCGCATCTTTAGATAAGTCAAATACCTCTTGTAAACAAAATGAATATTGTATTCCGTTTTTGTTCTAAAAACGAGTGAATCACAGAGATCTGTGATCCGAAAGCTTTCACTCTTCGGCATTTTTAATTTAAAGCGGTAAAATTATAGTTATTCAATATAATAGAATAGAAGCAATTAAGAATAATTAGGTATAAGTTTACTGAAGTGCAAATATGTTGCAGGACCGACAAACTAGCAGTACGCGTACGTTTAACAAAGCGAGCAATTAATGATCGAAATGTTAAGCATAACATTACAATTGCTTAGCTAAATTATTATACTAAGCGAAAATAAGCGGAGCGTAGGTAAAAACTTTAAGCTAAGAAATATTTCGGCTCGTTTGGACCAACTTTTAATGGAGGCGCGGGATGTTACTTTGTAAAACTTTATAAAACTTTAACCTATAGCTAATATTTGAAGTGGTTAAGTGGACTGTTTTTTTCTTATTGTTACCTAATATGTGCTCATAATGGACAATGGGAAAAAGAAAGAAAGGATACGGACAGTCCTTCCTCGTGGCTTCTTCTAGTGGTTTTCCTCTGTACAATGACCAATCACTTTCACAAATTATATTAGTTAAAGTTTAATGAAATTAAGTATAGTTAAAGTTTATAATAAAAAAATTAAATGTTTAAAAAGGAAGGGTGCGAGGTGCGGCGATTAAACAACCATAAGCGGGTCATCAAAATTGTCACTAATTAATTCTTATTAGAGACTCATGTCGTGCGCGCCACCTAAGCCCGTTCCGGAACTAGTACCGTCATAGGATTGGGACATAAAATAGGGGGTGATGAGACATGCGTCTAGGAATTATTAGGAGGGGTATTGAGCAACCATTATTTAAAATCAAAATTATTAAAAATAACAACCGGCGCAACCAGTAATTATACGTTGCTTTACATATAATATGTAAAATTATAGGACGGGCGACTCTGCTTCATCTACTAAAGCAAACCTTCTCGTTTCTATAGTCTACAGTCAAGGCAAAATTATACATAAAACTGTTAATGTTTTGTTGTTAGTAAAGTAGGTTTTTAACTATCTTCTCACCTGATCTTGAGGTTCCATCGCGAATTTCTGCTCCTGCAATCCCCCAACCCCACTGATCACAAACATAGTCCGCAACAAGAGAAATAACGGCACACTCCACACTCGCGATCTATAACTCGACATTTTCATATCCTCAGGAAATCTATTTACATCTTGGAGGGATGTCCGCTTCCCTACGTCTCCTTTATTTTGAACGGCGCCATGTTTATTTCTGGTGGCCGGATCTGAAACAATAGAATGGTTAATTGAAGACGGATATGTTTATAAATAGTTCCCTTTTAAACTAAATTGGTCTCTTTATGACGACGACTCTCCGATTTTAAGACATTTGTTCACAAATGTATATAAATTGATGTGTCTCAGGAATGTGGAATCGATTTTAATAATAACTCATGGATAATGTTTAATAGTATTTTCCTCTGGATAAAGTTTTTGCAAGAATTTGTATTTTATTTAGTTTAAAAAGGTATCAAATTTAAAAGAAAGTCAGTGGTCTAAGATTCACCAACGCTTTGACAATTGTTTATTTTGAATTTACGATTTCAAAACTTTCCGTATTCTCGCCTTGCCAATGTGTAATATACAAAATTATACTTTACGATACTGAACGCGTTTCATTCTCGTTTAATATACTAGATATATTTTAGTGAAATATATTTTGTGTCTCTTATGCCCGAGTTACACGAGGCTAGTTTTCAAGCTAGGATAGCAAGCTAGTGCCAGTAAGCTAGCAAGCTAGTACTTCTGGCTTCGTGTAGACAAAACAGCAATCCACGGTCTTCTCCACACCCGTTTATGTTACTCTTCTTCTAGTTCGTCTAGTGCGAATTGGCACAGTTTTCGAAGTAAGTCATTCAGTCGAATAGTGTTTTTTTTCGCATGCAGCTCATTTAGGACGTGTGGACGCCTCAGTCACTGCAATAGTACTACCTTAAAATAATCCTAGCCTCATATAAACAGAAACAGAACTAACATGTTCCAAGCCAGGTCAAGGTACAAGCTTGCTATCCAGCTTGAAAAACTAGCCTCGTGTATCCCGGGCATTATGTAGCTATGCGATTACTGGATGCCACACCTAAACGTGGCGGGTTAATCAAATAAATAAGTTAGGAAGTCTGAGAATAATTTTGAAGTTCCAAACTGTTGTCCCTTTAACGCGATTCGCGCTTTTAGTCATGTTCATTCGAATTACTTTGAGTTTAAGTGGTTTTCATCTTGTTTTAGGGTTTTGTTATTTGAGTAATGTTATTTTTAAAAATTAATTATTAATTATTGAACTTTTAAGGAGCAGGAAACTCAACTGATATTCAGTCATATCACCGCCCATAGACTTGCTAGTGAATTGCCGAATAATTATGGTTATGGTATGGAAGAACCCTATGATATTGACGGTTCGTCAATAACGGGCGCATACCGGTGACGGGGATTTGTTTTTTGAAAATATATTTTAAAAGCGCTCAGTTGTGACGAGGTAATGCGGATGGAAATTCAGCTGCGAGAATAAATTCGAATAACGCCTCCACTTTATTCTTCATAAAATGTAAAAAGATTAACTAATGCAATGAAATTTAGATCCTTGAAAATTCTGATCGTTATTCAAGAAAGTCCGTAGTCCACACCATTAAATAATCTTACATTAAGACGCTTTCAATTGACATGTGAAGTAATACTTAATACCACGTTACTACTGTTATATCCCGGAAATGGTGTAACTATAACCAGTAGTGAACTTCTGTTATCTACGTAGTTATAGCGTAAGAGTCGCAATGCGTTACGGCAATCTACTATTCGATACATATATAATTTGGGTGCAATGACCCTTGTCTAAGCCAGATTTTTAGTATTTTGTTTTCATTTTAGTTAGACGTTATGATGACTTACATCGCCAGAAGTCTTTTTTTTATGGTTGGAAAATATATTTACAGAACGCCGAGGCAACTTTTATTATGTGACGCGAGGACTGTGCGGGTCGGTCCGTACGGTACCCACTGCCCAGCCCCATCTGCTTGCTATGAACGGGAAGCTTGGTAACAGTTTCCGTGTCAATCGCCAGTAGTCCAAGCCCAAATAAACAAATTAATTTAAAAAAATGAGACATTTTTAAAACTCAAAACTGTGTTTACTTTACTATTGCTACACGTATGGTGTGATACAACTTTTTTATGAGAATTCATAAGAATAATTTCCATAGCCGTTATGTATGACAAAGAAAAATCATAGGTAACATATTTTTGTGTGTGATATAGCGTAACGTAATTTGGCATAACTTGTACAAGTTATGGTACGATACGGAATATTAATACATTATTATTATTTTTATTAATATTATTATTTGGTACTTACGTATTAACGCCACCGCGGCAAAAATTCTGTTTGGTTAGGTTAGGTTAGTATATTAATATTTATTATTCTAAAACTTTATTAAAATAAAATATTAATATACTAACCTACCTAACCAAACAATAATCAGTATAATCAAATTCGGGCGACGGATTTCTAAATCTTTACCAGAATTTTTGCCGCGGTGGCGTTAATACGTAAGTACCTATTATTATTTTCTATTATTATTATTTATTTTTAGTATTTCCGAATTCCTTATACAATGCACACAATGACCTCGTCGTCTCGTCTTTGATAAGAAGAAGAAGATATCGCCAGTTTTTGTAGTAATTTCATCTAAGGAATTCTAATTCATGCTTTCATTAACATCTTTAAACAGACCTTGCTTTAAATAGAAGTGCAATTTTCTAAACGGAAATGTATTGTATGAAGAATTACAGAGACAAGCTTTGACATTTTAGACTCGTAAAGTTATATGGAGACTCTTTGTGTATAAGCCTTATCATCTTTTAAACGACTTCAAACCTCATCAGCTGGAACTGTATTTATTGTGACATATTTAAGTATGATGCGTATAAATACATTCAGGTGTTAATTTTAAATAACAAAATAAATATAGAGACAGATATTCTGCAACTCCTAGACTGTACGGGATATTCTCATTCCCAGCATAATATTTCTTACATTCGCTCATTACGGTAATCTCGGATTGATTAGTTCACATATAATATTATATAGGTGATCTATGGGGTATATATAATATATATATATTGCGACTGTTAATTCGATATCTAAATATAAAAGTACACCACCTATACGAATTGTCCTTATCATTCTCGTGTTAGGTACTTTGTAAATTTTTACAATGAAACTGATTAAATTGCGTACGTATTTAGAACTACCGTCAATTTAGTTTAAATTATAATAATTATAATTAGATTAAAAGTAATATCAGACATATCATAATAGAAAAGAATCATGTTTAAAAAAAAAAAGTTGATATCATATAATCATATCGATTTATTGGCGTTTTAGTTTTGATTCATCACTAGTAGCAAATAGTGGCTTCAATATGCGACTGTCCTCCCTGAGGTCGTAAGTTCGATCCCCGGCTGTGCACCAATGGACTTGCTTTCTATGTGCGCATTTAACACGCTGGAACGATGAAGGAAAACATCTTGAGGATACCGGCTTCCCTTAGACCCAAAAAGTCGACGGCGTGTGTCAGGCACAGGAGGCTGATCACCTACTTGCATATCAGATTGACAAATGATACAGAAATCTGAGGCCCAGACCTAAAAAGGTTGTAGCACCAGCTTATTCATTAAATATGTATGTCCGAATTAACTAACAAGAAACGAGATTTTGAACCATTCATTTAAAAACACACCAAATTAAAAAAACCTTTCAAACGCATTCTAATCCCATACTGTTAACAGTATACTTTTCTAGTAACAATGTAATTTAGATTTAACTATAAAAGCAGCATATAATCTACTTATCTATCTTTCTATTAAGATAACGTGACGTGTATATAGTTTAATTAAAATCGTCGATATTGTTAATATTAATCTTTCGGCACCTTTAAAAGATACGCTATCTTTAATTATACATTTAATTAATTTATCGAGGATTTGACTGTATACATCCGATTTTATAGATTAAATGAATCAAAACTTGTTGAGCGAGTTATACTTAGTAATTATTTTAAACCCGGGCGTTTTAATCTATTTTATCGCTTCGGAAATTCTCTATATTTTTGGACGAATTTAATTTCAATATGTTGATGCAATCATGCCAAAAATAAAATTTGGAATGTCCTAGACATGTTTGAATTGCAATTAGTTTCTTTGGTTCTTTTTTTATTCAAAAGTAAGTGGCCAGTATCAATGCGCTAGTCCACTACTAAACTTTTTTGTCATGAGACACAAAAAAAGAAACCACATTAAGAAAATAATTTTCATCAAACTGCCCGCTCTCGGCGACAACGACAACGATGTCTGCTCTGCCTCATTATCAAATTTCGAGCAGGTGTACAATAAATCAATTTGTCAAGAGCTCGCATGATTTCCCTAACTACAATCGAATAATGTCACTTGGTTGACAATCACATACTGAAGCGGACTGTGGAAGACTTCCAGCTAATGAAATCCACATATATAGTTTGTTAGTTGCAATGTCTCTAAGTAGAAAGAGAATCAAGCTGATAAGCATTGGAGATGTATATATATATTTACACACAATCATATACTCACTGAAACGCAAAATAATAGTTTCGTACTGGATTTTTGGTATTTTTTTTTCTATTTTTATTTTTAGATTCCTTTTAATTCAATTCTATTATATATAAAATTACGTATAAAAATTGATCAAACAGGAAAAGGTGTCTCGAGCACCACTTAAGTTCAAACTCAAAGGCGTCAACCACTTAAGACGCGTGAGTGAAATCCTTAGAGGGCTTTATCTTTTTAAGATGAGAAAAACCGTTTTCCAATCTTCAAAATCTTGTCTCACACCTAAATCTATCGTCGCTGGCGTAAAAATTCAAACTTTGGCCAATATTTGGACAAAAACAGTTTTATCTCTTTCTGGCAAATTATATTTACGCTGCAATGAAAAGTGACAAAAGTATTTTGTTGAAACGGTGCAATAAAATAGGTTTTTTAAAGGTCATATATATTTATCATATGTATTTAAAGTCACTATGGTTAAACTTATTATTATAATACTCGTGTAGTTGAACTACTTGTTTCATTATATGGACATGGTTTTAAATTCGGATTTTATTACCTTACCTGAACACAATATTTCCTAGATTTCCATCAAAATCACTTAACTCACAACCGTAACAATAAGCTAGTCGCGTGCCACTGATGTTTCCGACGGCTATTCCTGTATGTATTTATATCCACCCCAGTCCAGACTTAATGTGACTTAAAAATAACTAGCCCCTGCTTATAAGAAAATCTCGCGCCACTAAAGTATTTAAAATAATTCAATGAACCTTTCACCTACAATATACGTCCTATTACAGTAAGATAATAATATTCAGAGAATGATTTTATTTCATGTCAAATCATATTATTTTCGTCCCATGTGCATGTTTTAGACGATTTTTTACATCAACTTTAAAAAAGATAATAATTTTACTGCATGATTGACAACATGAACTTAGCAGCTGAATGTTTTATATTTTATCAATACATTAATTTCTAAATATTGTAACATTGAATTTCAAAATTACCAAGTGCACTCAGATTGAATTTTGCATTCCATTCCATTAACTCATTGTCTACCAAATTTAAATTTAGAACCAGACGGACTAACCGGAAGCGGAATAACATATGATATAAGTAGTATATCATGTATCATGTTATATTTAGCGCATGATGAGCATCGATTTAAATTAAATATTTTATTTCGATCTATGGAGCGTTTTAAAGTATTATTAATAAACTAGCTAATCCGGCAAACGTCGTTTTGCCATGTATATCATTTATAATAAAAATAGGGGTTGATCGTAGAGGGGTGAAAATTAGGGGTTGTATGTATTTTTGGAGTTTATTGGAGTTTACTCCTTAAGAAACGATTTGAGTTATAAGGCCCGGTACGGAAATTTTATGAGGAGTAAAATCAAGTGTAACTCGAAAAGTTGAGGCGTTATGTGTAACACGAAAAGTTGAGGCGTTATGTAGAAAGAGACAAACATAATTGTATATCTGTAGGATTGAACGTGTAAAAGAATGAGATGGAATATATTACACAGACTTTTCTATTTTGAATTCACGTTTTGACAGCCACGTTACAACATTGTCAGTGTTGACAAGTGTAAAAAATAAAAGTAGATTGTCTAGCGTGCCATAGAGTTTTGTCAATAGTAATGGTCAGTGAAATTAAAACTAAAAAGATTGTTCATTCTTATTCTTCTCTTACTATAAAGGTAACTTTGGTCACAGAAAGAAAATCCTATTTGGGATAATTATCGTTCGTAAGAAGTAAACTCCAATCGTGCGTCGTGGCTGACACACACACACTTTTTTTAGGTTAGGGCCTCAAATTTCTGTATCTGTTTCACGATCATTTGTCAATCTAATAGGCAAGTAGGTGATCGGCCTCCTGTGCCTGTCACACGCCGTCGAAAGTCCATTGGCGCACAGCCGGGATCGAATCTACGACCTCAGGGATTAGAGTGGTACGCTGAAGCCACCAAGCCAACACTGCTATTAACAAGTATTATTTCGGGAACGAATATTTTAAGTTTTGTCTTAATGTTAGCAAAAATATTAGATAATTATGAAAAAAACACTATACACTTTATCTTCATTACAGAACTACATGTATTTAATCTCAAAGAGGAAATTAAACCTGGCGGTCTTCCTGCCTTCGATACAGTATCTTGTTCTAGATATTAAATTATGCATTGAAAACGGTTCTAGCGTTTTATTAGTACCTAAAGAACAATTTTAGACAGTAATAATATTAATTGCTAAAGAATTCAAGTGATTGAAGTGATCTTCATCACTTCTAAAAGTTCTTTGACCAATGTTTTTATTTTGTTAACAGTATCCCTCTTGTACCACAAAGAACGGTTCGGGGGCCGTCGATACACAATTTTATACTAAAATAATAAGTCCTGTGTACGTTTCGATATATCCTTAACAAGAAGAAAGGCACACAATTGTCAGTCGTAAGGATATGTAGAAATTATATTAGTTTGGTAACAATAAGAGAGGTTAGACTGATAACCTACTGATACCT